TTAAATTTATTAGTCAACAATTTCAAATATTTTTAAAGCCACAACTTTATCCTGGAATCGAGCCAATTTAAAAAGAGTTAAAAGTTGTTTGATACAACATTTGCCCTAACCCTTTCTACGAATACTTGTTGGTTCACAATAACATTGTCCTATTTAAAAAATGTTTTTCTTTCCCTTGTTTGTATATGCAAGATGCAGGCAAACAGAGGAAATTAAATAACTGTATATATATGGGAATACCCTGAAACCTTCTACACTGTTCTGTGAAATGTTCTTAGTAAACACACAGAGCAGTTATTGAGCCTCTTTCAATTAAAGTAAACTAAGTCTTATTTTGTGGGTATGAAACATTTAAGAAAGCATAACATTTTTAAGACAATGGTGTTCCTTTAACATGTCTATATTTATATGGTGGAGATTGTGACATATATGGGCTGCCTGTATATGGAAGGTACAGTGGAATTTCCAGTTCCAATGTTCCAGAGAACACTGACAGGTTTCTTACTCATAATGAAATGGCAGAGAGGGGACTATGAATAAGAGCTAAGATGCTATGGTCTCTTGAACACAGTGGAAAGCTGGGATGAGAGAGGTCTGAATTATTCCCAAACTCTGCTGCTTAAATGGGTGCAACTTCAGTGAATTTTCACCCAATCCCAAGAGCAGGCCTGCTGAGCAGAAGGGAAGTTGCCTTTGTGCCCCACATGGTCCCAGGTACCGCCTCCCATTAGCGCACCATTGCCAGGGAAGAGAGAGAAAGCCTCAAGCCTCGCTGTGCGATCCGGCTCGCAGGGAAGAAGTGCTCCTCCTCCCCTTCCCCCAGCCGGGAGAGAGGGAGTGTTTCTTCCCGGCAAGCTGGATTGCAAAGTGAGGCTCAAGGCTTTCTTTCTCTCCCCCCTTCCCGCAGCAGTAAGCCGGTGTTGGCACTCCAACCACGCATGGTGGGGAGGCAGGAGGAGGAGGCTGCAGCACCTGCGTGGGCTCCCCAATGTGGGGAAAAGGAGGGGAACTGAGCTCGCTCCAAGGACCACCAGGAAGGTGGCTACAAAGTCCCCTCGTGCTGACTTTGGGGACCGTGGGGGGAGGGGTGTGTTCGCACCCTTCACACACTCCCTGCGTATGGGCTTGAGTGTGATATATTACAACCTCCCTAGCCTAAAAGCAAATGCTGGGATTCTCCCCTTTCCAATGGTGTAAAGTTATGTAATCCTTCAAGATATCAAACCTTAAGCCTGTTACTGGAGCAGGACCAAGTACTACCAGTCCTGGATCAATAGCAGGTCATTTTTTAAAGTTTCTCTGTTTGGGAGAAAGGAGGAAGCATTTTTATGGCAGGTTTATTTATTCTTTAAAATGGCACCTGTGAAGTTGTTCAGAGATCTGAAATGTCAGGACGTGACTATGTGAGATGGATTAAAGGGCAGAGATCATGAACTGGTCAAAAGTGCATGATCAAGTGTACAACCAGGTGATAAATATTATCGGTTCTTCAACTAATCATATCTATATCACTGTTACAGATGTGGAGTTTTGGGCTATTTAGAGTAGGACAAAAATTTCCCAAGCAAACATTGAGCACACTCTGATTTGTAAGACTCTCAACTGATCTCCCTTACTAGTTTGGAATATTTTTCTTTTGAATGAATGAAAGTGTAAGCATCTGACATTAACAAACTAAGTTGCAATAGAATAGAAATATTGCTGTAAGCTATCGGCCTCCCCCAACTTTCCAAAAATAAAACTAAGTCACAGGCACACACAAAACTAGCCAACAATTTTAGGGTGATAAATAGTTGTGCTACTGAAATAAATAACTATCTCACTATGAGAAGACATTTAACAGAGTATATATTAAATACTGAATAAACATTATCTGGATATTCTAGGGATGTAATAGTGTAGTCGATTAACCGATAAGAAAAAGCTTATCAGTTAATGCTATAGACTACATGCATTTTTCCCCCTCCCCCCACCAGTAAACTTCTAAGCAGGCTGGCCAGCAGCCCGGCTCAGTCCCAGCTTGTGCTGGGTCCGGGACCTACCCCTGCTGTGGCTCAGCATTTAAAGTGTATTAGGAGCCAGGTGGGCAGGCAGCCCAGTTCAGTTCTGGCTCGCAACAGGTCCAGGAGCTCAGAGTCCTCCAGGCAAAGGTTGCTGCCACTCTGTGCTGCTGCCTCTGTATCAAAGGCAGCAGCGCCAGGCAACAGGCAACCAGTCCATGAGGGGAGCTGGTTTTTAAACTGGCTCCCCTCACAGACCAGCTCCCGCCTGGCACTCCGCACTGCTGCCTCTGATACAGAAGCAGCAGTGCAGCGTGGCAGGGGGCTCCTTGTGAGTGAGGCCAGAGCACACTGGCTACCGGCCCCACCCCCAGAGACTATAGAATTGTCAAGTAACTGATAAGAATTCATGAGGCTAATCAGCTATTCAATTAACCGATATTTAACATCCCTGGGATATTCACACAAAATATAAAATGGAAACCTTTTCAATCATGAAAAGAATAAATGAACAAAAAAATGAAGGAGCGAGAGTGGCTGTTAGAACTGCTAACTATTGCAAGATAAGATTACAAAATCTTTTTTGGTGTAGAAGAGACAAGAGAAAAAGGTACCATAGTGTTTCTAAGAAATACTATGATGTGCTCTATCACTCCAGAGTATCTTCAGTGAGCAACAAAACCATAAACCTATTCGAAGATATTTTCTTGTAATACTATGATAGTCTAAAACAGCACTAAAAGCCATACATGTTGGCTCTTACATTTTCCCCCTCTGCTTCTATCCCAAAGGGCATAGCCAACCTTCCAGTGATCTTTTCTACCATATCAGTCTCCTGGGGCTCCTGGTGAAGTGAGAGATGTTACAGCAGACTATAGGCTGCTTTATTCTGTTTGAGGGAAGCAGATCATAGCAGAATTGCTCTAAGATAGAAGGAGGGTCAAGGCAGTTTTGTATTCCTCTTTTTCAGCTCAGCTAAGCACAACTCACTTGTAGCTGAGGACCAGGCTTAAGGTCATTGATGACATTAGAATATCCAACCACATGGTTTTCTTTGCTTTACATCTAGTTCTGTAAACAACAGATTCAAACAGGGATTGGCAAAAAGCAGCCTGTAGGCAGGAGTGGCAGGCTACCAGACACTTTATTTACCCGAGTGTCCTCAGGTACGGCTGCTTGCAGCTCCTGTTGGATGCAGATCACCATTCCTGGCAAAGGGGAGCTGCGGGAAGTGGTGGCCTGGCCCACATACTTTATAGAATTCTCATTTGCTTACAACACATTTAATAAACAAAACTTGGTTTCATTTGCATTCACTTCTAAGGTACGTCATTCAATGCCAACCAAAACACTCATGTTTGAAAAGGAATCAGAATGCACACAGTACAACAGCAAGTCCATAGAGACATTAGTCACTTTTTGGACTTGAAAAACGGCGACAGCTTCAGGAGGTTTGAATAACCTCCCATGTTATTACTGACCTCCTCTTCATCCTCTCACACGCCATGATCAAAGTAACCTACTTTTAACACACACGCACACACACGTACCTTTTTGTCCTACTTAACTGATTCATGGTTAATTTCCTTTTAAAAACTCTCAGACACTCAAGCTTAGAGAAAGCTATTCCCAAAGCCCATTTAGATTTAAAAGTACATGTTGTAATCATTTTTCTAACAAGTTAAGGAGAATAGACTACAGTAAGCAGCAGTCATATCAGTTTAAGTTGAAGAGAAGCAGCTGCTACTGTGCATTAAACCCGTTTCCAAGCCAATTCAAAATGAAGTAACTCAGTAGAGCGTCTTCCTTTTTCTTTCTACATGAAATATTACAGACTGCTTGAAAAGGTTTTCTACATTTACCTTACAGAGGTAGTTCCCAATAATGGTCAAAGGTTAACAGACAATAGATTTTTTTTTTTTTTTAAGGGATACACCTTTCTCACTGGAAAGCAGTGTCTTAAAATCTATTTCCATGTTTTCAACTCTCTGGTTTTAAAAAAATGGAATAAATGGAATAAAACTGATAAATAGCAGCAGCTCTTGGTTATGAAACACTTAAAAGTTTTTAGAATGACAAAAAGCACACTTATAACACAGGGCTTGTCTTCACTGCACTTTTAGCTAGAACAGTGGATCTCAGAGTGTGGTTTGAACTTCTTACAGGTGGGCTGCAGGCTCAGGGCTTGGCTCCACAGTGGGGAGCCTGTACTGGCACTCCAGCCCTGCATCTCCTCCCATGAGGTTGGCGCGCCAGCTTCCCACTCCAGGGGGAGGGGATGAGATGGGGAAAAGGGAACAGCTGGGGGAATGGCAGTACAAGAAACTGCTCATATGAAGGCTCTCCCTGCTGCTCCCATTAGCCAGAATCAGGGGTTGCACTCCTGCTCCCACCACCCTTTTCTGTATGTGTATATTTTGTCTATTAAAAGCTCAGTCTTTCAAGATGTTGAGAGAATTAAAATCTGTTGAGCTCTTAAGGCCTGATCCTGCATCCACTTAGCATTAGGTACAGTGCTCACTTCTAATCAGTAGACCCTCTGATTTCCATAAGCATCATACTCAGTAGTAAGTGTTTGAAAGATCAAACCTTTAAACAGTAAACTCTTTGGGATAAACACAGATATTATGTATCTGTCAAGTGCCTAGCACACAACTGAAAATTACACAATTTTTTTAAAATTCAGCTAAGCTTATCTTTGCTTGTGAGACAAGTATAAGAAGTTATAACAGTATGGGTGTGTCTAGACTACAGGGTTTTTTCGAAAAAAGTGGCCTTTTTTTGAAAAAACTTCCCCTGCATCTAGACTGCCGCCGCGTTCTTTCAAAATTAAATCGAAAGAATGCGGTGGTTTTTTCAACCATGGTAAACCTCATTTTACGAGGAAGAATGCCTTTTTTCGAAAGTACTCTTTCAAAAAAAAGTGTTCTGGAATGCAAATAGGGCTTTTTCGAAAGAGAGTGTCCAGATTGCCTGGGTGCTCTCTTTCGCAAAAGCGGAACGCTTTTTCAAAATAAGTTGTTGCAGTCTAGATGCTCTCTTTCTAAAGAGGCTCGTAGTCTAGACGTAGCTTATGAGAAATATGTGGGGTTCTGTCTACATTTCTAAGTTTAAAGTGCAGCTGTGGCCGTGTTCTTACCTAGCAGTGTGGTCACAGCACCAGCACTCCAAGTAAGCCACCTCCACAAGGAGCATAGCTCTCACAGCTTGGAGCCTGTTTGCACCGGGGCTTTACAGTGCTGTAACTTGCTGTGCTGGGGGGGGGGAGGGGGGATTTTTCTTACCCTGAGCAAGAAAGTTACAGATCAGTAAAGAGGCCGGGTAGACAAGGCCTGAGAACAATGAATTAAGGGGGGTGCAGGGAATGAAGCTCACATCCCTTATGCAGGAATTTCTGTAGGGATGGGGTGCATGCTGCGGGAGGGGCTGGTGGCTTTCTCATCCCCTGCAGCCCAGTCCTGTCCCTGCTCCTGGGTGAGGAAGAGAGAGAATCAGCCCCAGCCTCTCTCAGATGGTCAGAGCACAGGGGAGGGAGGCTAAGGCAGCATGCCTCCCTGCTTTCCACCAGGGAGAGGTGCATGGGCAGAGGACCCTGGCCAGAGCATGGGCGAGGACCGTGGCTGGATGGGTTCACACCCTTCACACCCACCCCAGCATACGGGCCTGCATCCTGAAAAACCCTCACTCACTTACCCAGCTACTCCCATTTAAATCAGTGGGATCAGCTGCCTAAGGAAAGACTACTCATGTGAATAAGTGTTTGCAGACTTGGGCCCTGAGTGAGTTGCTATTTGAGTTCCTTGGATTCTAACTTAACAGAGTAAGAGAGCCAGTCTCTTGGGCCAGAGCAGTGATCCATGTTGGCATGGATCAAAAAACAACACAGCTGACTGCAAAGGTTAACAGGGTTTTTGGCCAGCTTTTTATGACTGCACAGCAGCACCTTTCTTTTGAGTGGAAACATAACATTTAGCTAGTAAAGGAAATCTTTCTAAACTAGATTCTTGCCTCAAGTCATTTTAGTACTTCACAATATCTTTGTCTCCAGCTGTTGTAGAGATGGAGCAGGCAGCTAATTAATTAGAAACGAAATAAAACAAATCATCAAGGAACTGTACAGTGGCAGGACAAGACTGTTTCACAAGCTGAGAAACTGGAGTACATGCTTTTTTTAGTGTAAAAGCAAGTGCTACGTCTGATTTCCATTAGAAAACCCCCTATTCATTTCCCTTACCCAAAATATAAGGGAAACCGTTTCATTTTTCCAAACATACGGTGACATTTGGAAAGTTTTGTTTCCCTCCATTTAAAACAAAATAAATTAATAAAATATGATGGCAGACCATCAACAAATGCTCTAGTTTCAGCTAATGTGACGTTACAAAATAATTACAATGAAGGGAATGGATAATTGGATGAAGTACTTTTGTTAGCAGCCTGCTTTAAGATTTATTTTAAACATGAATAATAAGTTAGTGGCAGGGCAGCAGTAAAAACAAATGTGGCAGATGTTGGATGTTCTTTCTGCGGTGAGCCAATCCTGTGCCACGTGTATATTTTAATTTATTATTTGCATCCTGAGAGCACCACAAGGCCCCTGCTTATGGAGCAGGGCCCCATTTAGGCACCGTACAAACATGTATTAAAACATGGTCCCTGACTTATGCAACTTTTAATTGTAATCGTAACCAATGAGAAGCATGCGCGGAATTTAAATGTGACTGCTTTTGGAGAGGCACGAATGTGTGACACCCCCCAGGCTTTTCAGGAAGTCTCTGGAAGAGAGGCCCAGCATGGAGGCGGCAGTGGCTCCCTCTGGCAGCAGCTCTCTCCATGTCCCTGCAGCCTAGAGAGGGAGCTAGAAGTAGAGTAGCTGGCTGCAGGCTGAGCTCCTCCCCGCATCTCTATAGCTGCTGATTCTTCTTCCCTGCTGCTGGAGTCCCAGTACTGCTGCCTGCTTTGCAGACTGCCTGCTGCCCCCTCTTCTGCATGCTCCATGTCCAAAAAAACCATGATTATTTGTATGTTTATTTGTATTAGTCTTCACAAAGACAGACATCCAGATAACACTTATCAAAACATTCACACATTTAGAACTATTTCCTACAGTTCCTTAAGCACTTACCTTGGCCATTGGGCACTATTCGATTGGCTAGTCCAAATTCATATGCTTCTTGTGCACTAACAGGACGACCAGTTAGAATGAGATCTAAGGCTCGTGAGAGACCAATCAGTCGAGGTAGCCGTACAGTGCCACCATCAATCAATGGAACACCTGTGAAGACAAAAACCACAAGACTAAAAGAAAACCCAAATATTTGCCTTTTAAAATATTTTTTTGGCCTAATTTGGCGTATTAGCATCGGCACTACAGTTGACAGCTTTTTACTCCCCTCTACTTTCTTTTTCTGTTATAAATTCTGAGTACCCCTTTTTCGTCACTCAAGATCTTCTGAAGAAGTGAGCTTTGCCCACTTATGACACTATATATATTTTTGCAAGTCTCTAAGGTACCGCAGGACTACTTGTTATTTTTACTTCAGTGGAAGTCAGGCACCTACGTATATTTAAAAAAACAGCCCTTACTAAGAATTTCAATTACAATGCAAGGACTATGTAATATGTAGGTACTTTGCACCTTCTGTAGCACATCAGTGTAGACACGACCTATACCAATAGGTGGGTTTCTCCCAACCACCTCCCTAAGAAACAGTAGCTAAGTTGATAGAAGAATTCTACTGTCAATCTAGTACAGTAAAACTCCATTGGTCCAGCATCCAATGCTCCGGCACTCCTGATGGTCCGGCACCATCAGGAACCTGGAAGTGCTCCAGGCAGCTGGACAACTGGAGCTGCTCTGCGCCCAGCTTCCCCGATTCAGCCGCTACTGAAACTGACCAGCAGCGGCTGAATCAGGGACACCTGGGGCAGAGCCAGACTATCGGAAGGGGGGGGGCATTTGCATGAGGGACCAAACCCCTCATAGCCGCCCCCTGCGATAGTCCCGCATGGTCAAAAGTTTTTCAAAAATGTCATCTGTGAAGAGCAGGGTGAAAAAGCACACACATGAAACAGTGCGGTTTAATCCTTAGCAGGGAGGTGAACAGATAACCAGTTTGCTGTGGGGAGTAGGGTTGCCAGACCCTCCCAAAATACCCCCTCCCCCCCAAAAAAAGTGAAAAAATTCTGTTGAAGGGAAAAAATAGGGGGGAGGGGAAACCAAATATATATATATATATCCTACTGCACGGCAGCAGCCATGGACAGTGACTCCAAGACTTATTAAGCAAAAAAAAAAAGTTAAATAAAAGAGCATTAAAACAGCATTTCTCCTTTAAGGGTGAGTGCAGGGATAGGAACAGGGGAGCGGTTGAGCACTAAGACCTCTTGCTTGGCAGCCATTTTGTGCTGGCAGCCTTGCGGAACCAGGTAAGCATTGGGGCTGGAGTCAGAGGGCTGGGGGTGTTGGGAGCCGATAGTGTTCGGGGCGGGAGGCCGGGCGCTGAGTGTTTGTAGGGTTGCCAGGTGCCTGGCATTTTTGCCTCCTGGCTGGGGAAAAATTCAGAAAATACCAGACATCTCAGGTGTCCGGTAGTCTCTGAATTTTTTTACTGGACTGTCCGGGTGAATACCGGACACCTGGCAACTCTAATAATAGCTCGAATGCTAATCTCCTGCCCTAGCACTCCAATACACTCACAGCAGGCAAGCAGGCTGGCATTAGCAGCAAGAGCAGCACATGCCACGTGGTAACTGCATTTACCTAGGAGCTGGAGTTGCATCACCCCCACACCACTCTAGACCCCTCATAGGCTCCCCTTCCGATAGTCCATCATATCTGATAATCCGGCACCCCTTGGGTCCTAAAGGTGCCGGATTATTGTAAGTTTACTGTACTGTCTTTGCTGGGGGTTAGGTTGGCTTAACTGCATTGCTCAAGGATCTGGCTTATTTATATTCCTAAGAAATGTACCTATGTCAATTTAAATTCCCAGTGTAGATGGTCCTTTAGGGGACTAGTGTTTTTCTCATTTCTAAACTTGCCTGTAACATTTGTCTATAAAGAAAGCAGACAAAGAAACACAGAAAAAGACCCTGAAGGATCAGGGCCCAGTTCTCAGATCAATCTGAAATCATGTGCCTGTAAATTGTGTGCATAAAAACCAGAAAACTGTGGGTCTGTGTACACAATTCACCTACACAGATATAGGTTTTGCACATGCTAGAATTGAGAGAGCAATTGTAGAGGCATTTTTTAACAATCTGGCTTCCCCTATCTCTGTAGAGCATGAAAACATACCAAAGCGTCTGCAGAACACTCCAAAAACAGCACTCTGCTCCACAACACGCAGGTCAGCCAAAAGAGAGAGCTCAAGACCCCCAGCTACTGCATATCCACTTACTGCAGCAATCACTGGTTTGGAAAACTTTATTCGGGAAGGACCCTATCAAAACAAAAGATATGTTAATCCATTTGTACACTGTGTACATATCAAAGACCCAAACCCACAAACACTGTTGGATGCAGTGTTTAATATAGGAAGGAGAGTCCTAGCACAGCTAGCATGGTAGCAATCAGCTTATCAGCTAATGCATCCACATGTACTAAATAACATTTATTATCTTGGTTTTGCTGCGATCGATTTACATTTTTATGAAAATGATCTACTCAGTTTATTCAGGACTCCTGGGTACCTAATTAGTCTAATGAGATTAAACAGTAATCGTTGTCATACAATCAAGACAGCAATAGGGGGAAAAAAGTAAGACATTTGTCCAGTGCCAGATGATTAAGCTAGTGTTAAAGCAGATCTGCATAGTTAAATTTTAAGCTGCAGTCACAGAAGTTGCCCTATAAAGATATCAAAACCTGGTCAGCTGTCAAGTAAAATGCCTTTCTTATTGTCAGACCTAAAAATCCAACGTGGGCTCCGAAGGTGAGACTGGGTTATTTCTATCTTGCACGACATAACCAGTAGTATAGGCTCTGTTAGCCCTTGGCTGCACCTGTATCAACTTATGGCCTTCTGGTTATGCCTCAGTGGCATCTGCTCAAAGTTACAGTTTGGAAGACAATGGAGCTGTATAGCTGTATTGGAGGTCATCATTTGCTTTGTATTTTAGTGTAGGGTGAATGTATCCTGACACACAAGAATCTAATTCAGCATTTTGTTTTCTGAGACTATTGATTTTATCAATACATCACAATTAATGTACTTCTGGCAAATATGCTGTACATGGAAACATAAATCTCAGTACTCAGATACAATGATATTAAAAGCATCAGGCACAGCCATCTAACATACTGAAAAAAGCACTTACCTAACAACTTCCCCTTACAAGTGGTCAATCTCTAGCAAGCTTACCAGTGAACCTTAAGCTCTTATGCTTCCATCGCCAGCCACAGCAAGTATGAATATAATCATTTTTATGAGGCAGAAAAATTCTTCTCACTTCACAATCAGTCTGTTTCTGAGCAAAACAGTGAACCGCTACACCAAAGTCTTCATGGTAGAGCTACCACGCAAATGGAGAATGACTGAGGTCTTTAAAGTTATTTTAACACTGGTGAAAACCCAGCTTTTCAGACATGGCTCAAGTATCTACATAGGACACTGGTCCAAATTTTTTCCCACTCAATTTACAGAAAAAATGTTTGATATACCATGTTAGAAAATAGTTAATACTAGATTTTTTGATCCTATCTCTCAACAATCTCTGCCTACCACATTTTCATTTGAACTACAAATGACCCTGTGCACACAATCATGTAATTCATTTTTATATAAGCAGAGAGTACAGTATATATAATTTTCAAGATGTCTGGGAGGTGATGCATCATAACTAAACTCCTTATTTTCCTTTGGGGAAAACAATCCCATTTGCTTTTAGTTAACTTCAAAGAAGAAAAGTATTTTCCCCTTTTCATTTCTGCAAGTTAACAGAAAATGGTCACGTGTTTCCATAAATCAAGATTTTAAAGTTTTCTTGTGTGTTAAAAGCAAAACAGATGCCTCAGACACAGATATAGCAAAATAAATGAAGTACAATGATAAGGTCCTGAAGCAATTTCAAGCCATAGAAATTGACTTCAGTTTCACTGAATTGTCAAAAACTTCTCCACACTGCACAGTTCTGTTTCCATATACATACCATGGGACCAGGACCTTTGGTGACATCTTGTTCCGATTTGATTGAGGTTGGGTTGTGGGCCAGCTCTTTCAAATCATAACCAGCGCAGAAATTACCTCCTACAAAACACCACAAAAATTAGACTCCTCAGCAATGAATCCAAGAAAGCACCAGTGTAGGGTCACTGGGGTTCCAAATATTTGCATTTTTTCCTCAAAGTCTGTCCAAGACCTACTTTTGTGAGTGGCTCAAGGGAACTTTTTTTTTTTTTTTTTTTTAATTTAGAAGCCTATTTCATCCTGAAAGCCCTGGCGAAAGTCTGCATCAGACAATTTTTACACACATCTAAGGAGCAGATGTAGATCAGAAAATTTATCCATATATCTCAGACAAACATTATTTCTATACATCTGTCCATCCATTTAGTGGCAGCAGCATTTTGCTACAATGTGGTATTTCACATTGTTATTGATAATGACAGTGTAGCCTTGTCCCCTGCCTTGCATTAGAATTTCCACTTTCAGCTCAGATTGGTGCACTTTTATGTGAGAGATTCACAAAAGTATTTAGCCCCCTAATTTTTACTGACTTCAATGGAAGTTAGGAGCCTAAATAGCTTTCTGTATCTATACCTTACTAAAAATAAGAGTATCAATATACGAATGGGTACAGGCTGCTCATTTATCTATCTTTACATCTTTCTGTTCCATCTGAAGGTTAATATTGTCGTCAAGTGTAAAACTTAATGGGATCCTTGAGCATGACTAGGACTATGTCCTAGAGAAGGGCCACTCAATTTTGGACATTCCGGGGGCCACAATGATACTCACGGCACATGTCAAGGGCCACAAGTGTGACTGCAGGTACATGCAAATATATGTAAATAGCTTCTTTGACACTGACAGCATGAATACAAAGATTAAAGCAAGACTACACAACACGGAGGCCCCATTTAAGGCAGTTCTGCTGATACTAGTAAAATGCAATATTTACTCAATTTCCACCCATATGACAGTACTTTTAATGAGCAATGACTATCCAGGAATTTAACTACTAAAACGCATATCAAAAGAAGACCATTATACTGACTCGCCATTATGGAGCATGTTCCCCACGGCCGTATATTGAGCCCTCTTTAAAACCAAACCACACTGCAGGCTGCAAACAAACAGGCTGTGGGGCTGAATGCAGACCATGGGCTGCATGGTGAATAGCCCTATCCTAGAGCAATACAAATAATGATAATTATTGCTATTATTACAGATATAAGGCCAGATCATCAGCTGACAAACCGGTGCAGCTTAATTTAACCAATATAGCTGTAGCAATTTATACCAGCTGAAGGTCTGACTCATAAATGTTAGGGCTCATCTAGACTACATGGAAGATTCAAAAGAGGATATGCAAATTCTTCTTCCG